GATGAGATAAATATGCGTGATGTGATTATGGTTTCGTCTATAAATAGAAGTCCAGTTGGTTAATTTATTAATTTTTGCAATTATTTCTACCTCATTTGTAAAAAGACAATGTTCAATAAAAAGGCAATGAAAATATCACAAAAAAAAATATTGATGACGAGATTAAAATTTTGTATAAAATTAATTTCAAGGTGATTTTTGTGGTATTTTTTTTATGAATTGTTGGGTTGTGCATTTATTAATTGGGTATTGCAAAAATTTGAAATTAATTCCTTTGTAGATTAAAATTGGAATTATGAATTTTTATTGAATATTATGTGCAAATTAGAGGCTGAATAGTTGAGACTTAATGAATTGACTTTTTAAGGATTGATGGAATTCATCGATTTGATTTAATGCTGGTTGGTAAAACTTTGGAGTCGAATCGGGACAAATTGGAATTTTATTGATGTTTGGGCGTAGTTTTGAATGAGTTTTTTTGGGGGGGGGGGGGGGGGTGGGGGTTTATAAGCTGGTTGACTGTATCTTATTTATGTGTTGTATGTTGCCAAACTTTTTTTAGGCAAATTCATGAAATCTTTTAAAAAATTCTAACTTAGAAAGGTTCAAATCCTTCACATTATTAAAAATTTTCAAATTTTCCTCGACCATCTTTTTACCATTTTTTTTAAAACCATATCTCCTTCCAATTCCATCCACAAAAGTCAACCATACATAATTGACTTAACATATTCCATGAAAAGACCTTGCATAAGATCTTACGATGCACTTTTTCTCTCTCTATGTTGTCTTCAAGTCTCATTCTTCTCCTCTTTTATTATTATTGAAATCACTTCGATGATCGTCTGCAATCGCAATCGTATTTATCATCCGAAGACAATCACAAGGATGCTTGAATGTGAACATAGAGCATGTATGCTTTAACTTACTGCATCATATGAAGGAAAAGTGGTAATAAGAAGACATGAGATTGCATTGAGAAAGGTTAAAAGGTTCGCGACAAGAAGAAGCGACATTGGATGGAGAAGAGATGTGAAGACGAGTTAGGATTGAGGCTTATGAGACGCATGGATGTTGATGTTTTGGTTTTAATGCTTGCAGGTTTGAGAATGGGATTGGAAGGTACAATTTTTGGTTTAAATTCATGTTAAGACATATGATCAGTCAAAAGATGAAGCTAAGACAGTTTTGAGGCTGCCTAGACACTGCTAACTGACCCAGTCAGCCATAATGATCCACAACAATCAATGTTCCCTTTAAAACACGCTAATCCGAGACTCATACCCTTGCCTGTAAGTGACTTAAAAGAAATTCTTATGGCGATGCCAGTTTCGAGCAATTGAGATTACACAAGCGAAGACTGTTGTGAAAATTAACAATTTTTTTTTCTTCAACTTAAAGGTCTGAACGTCTCAGTCAAGTAGATGAGCGGAAAACGAAACGAAAGTTTCATGCATGAATGAGTTAATAAGTCACTCATTGTTACAGGATTGATGAGCTGATTTCTCGATACTTTTATAGTGTCAAAAAAAAGTGAGCGAGAATTATGGAAAAACTTGTTTTTGGATGTAATTTTTCACAGGAAGGAAAGTCGACAAACACAAAAAAAAAGTCAAGTTCGTATTCATCTGGAGGTATGATTGGCGAGCTGTTGTGAAATTACTGACACAATAAATCCATCAACTTCATATGATTTATATTGTATTGTTAAATTGTGAAAACGATTATATAAAAATCAAGTGATTCTTGCCGAGAACCAATAAAATCTCGATTCAACTTTTGGTTCAAGTAATGACATCTAAAGGACTTGAACTTCTGCATTTTAATTAATTCTTGTTTTGTTTAAAATGATGTTCATTTGTATGTCAACATTGTTGTTGCTAAATGCATTTACTGATTCTATTGATTAATTTAACTGTTACTTTAAGCACGAGTCTACTCAAAAAATCCCTAAAAACTCAATTAATATTGAAATATGATTCTATCAATTCCAAGCCATAACTTCATTAATAAAATCAATACCTCGTTTGAATTCACGATTAAAATATTTCATATGAGCAATTCCCATGTTTTAGCTCAATTAAGTTTGTAGTTTGATTTGTGCCGATCGTAAACAGCCGTATCAAATTTCATGAAATCACTCGTAATGTCATAAAAATATTTAAATAAGAATCCACATCCCTGCGATGAAAAATATTCACAATTTTCTCCACATTAAAATTCTCATGATTCCTTATTTTATGCATAAAAAATTTCTGCATTCCATTCCGTACATGCTTAAAGCCTCAAACATCATTCATACAACAAGGGGAAAAAAGTATGCGGTGCACTTTTACAAATTCTTGAGAATAAATTCATCAATTAATTTAAATTAATTCAACAAGAAATATAATAAAATGTGACATTAAAGGAGAAAGCGAAATAAATTTGTTTCTCATTTTTTCAGGCCAAATGGCAAGGACGCATTGCAAAGCTATCATTGGACATTTCATATATGTAAAAAAGAAAATTTCTTTTACTTGTTTTATTCACATTTTTATTGTTTAATTCACAAAAAAATGCCTACACAAATTTAAGTTTCGTAATTTTTCTGCTCTTTCGTTCGCGTTTGCCTGCACGCTTTGACAGTACAAATGACATAAATAGAAATGACTGTTTTAAAGGCAGTGCCTGAAGCATAAATAGAATTGAATTTATTTTTTTCGCAACTTATGATACTATGGATGGCAATAAGGCTATAAAACTGAAATTAATACTTTTGGGTCACTTCTATTTCGATGACCTTCAAATTTCTCGAAAAAAAAATAAAATAAAAACTTTTTCTTTCCTTCATTTTCAATTTCTTAGCAACACAGAAAAAAATAAGGCAAGAAAGTCAACTTCATTTGATATTCACAGTCACGCTATGCATGTAATGCAAAAAGAATGCATAATTGCATTTTGCGATGCCATAAGCCAGCATAACGACAAAGATGTAAAATAAAGGGGAAAAGACTCGTCGTTCGTAGAATTTCAATTTCAATTTTTTTAGCGTGATTATTGATGAGAATGAGAACGCACGTGGTGGGCGATTTGAAAATTTTTTTTGTGGATTTTCAGTTTACTCTTTAAAGTTATGGATTGAAGGTATTTTTTTAATATCTTGCCAACTTTTTGATTACAAAGAACTAAAAAGCTATTCAAAAGTTTCTTTAGATGAAGAGAAAGTTGAAAAAAACTTTCTGAGGTGGAGAAATAAAACAAAATGGCGGACATTCAAAAACTCCTTAGAAAATGCGTTCAAGTCTTTGAAATGCCTTAATAATCCTCATCTTCTTGTTAACGCGCACTCCATTGTGTAGAGGCATGAAACAAAAAGGAATCACAGCAGATGGGAAATTGTAACATTATCAACATATGATCGCATGCATGTTTCATTTTTTCATCTCCTCACATTATGACCCTTTTTGACTCTCTTTTTCTGTGTATTGAAAGCAAGGCAGCGTAAAAATACGTGACAATTAAACATTCACCATTGTTTTCACTTTACAGAGAATTTTAATGCCTTCGTCTTCTAGATTCGCGTGCAGTGACGATGAGGTAGAAAAATGCACTCAATCGTTGTAAAAAGAAAAAAGGAAAAACTTCTTAGACTTGCATTGCCTGTCCTTGCGCAATATATTACATGATTATGATTCTTTTTTCTAACAATTTTCATTTCATTCTTTGTCATGACCTATAACCGATTTGTAATGAGGCCACAATAAAGCATGTAAGGAACTTTATAAATTGTAATACCTAGTATGGGTGATTGATAGTCCACAAAGTATGTGCAATAATAAACACAGAAAAAAATTTCCTTTTTTATATGAAAAAGAAAATATTGGCAAAATCATAAAGTCAAGAATTGGGTCGTGAATCGATTCGGAAGTCATGAAAGGCCTTTCTTTTGGACTTCCTTTTTAATAAACTTTCTTTCTTGTTCTTTGTCACTATTCAACCATTCATCGATGTTTGTTGTTTTGACGGGAAAGTTATGATTAATTAAATGAAGTTAAATACGTGTCAAGAATGACAGGATGCCATTGTAATGAGACTGCTCTAGTAATCCACTAAATGATATTTTATTGTTTTTTTTTGGGCTAGGTTGTTAGAATGTCGGAAATGTAGAACGGTTGAATTGTGAGTGACTTTTGGGTAATTTTAGTATCTGTGAAAATTAAACTTGAACTAGTTTTGTTCAAAGCTTGAAGTTCTGTATGGTTAACTCTTGCCACTTTTTTAAGCACGATTCAAATGAAAACTCGTGATAATTTTAGTTTAATGAAGCAAAAACTTTCAAAAAAATTTTCGAAGTGAAGGAAATTTACAAAATGGTGGACCTGTTTTTTTAAATTTAAGTTTCCTAAAGCCGTTAATTTTCCAGAGTTTTTGTAATGTTTTTACAAGCTCAATTTTACTATTTCATAACCATTAAAAACGTTTATTTACATTCCATCAAAATAATATTGATGCTTCGTTGTAATTGAAAGGTGTTAATTGTATTTTCTGAAATGTTCATGTACATTGAACATCACATCACGCAAGGTTTTGAAGCCATAATTAGAATTTTTACATTAAACAATGAAAGTTTGATGCAACCTTCTGTCCTAAAACTGTCAATTTTAATGGAAATGTCTATAAGATTTGAGATAGAATCGTGATATCTGAGTTTCCTGTAGTAAAAAGTCATTGAGGCTGTGAATCTATTTTCACACAATTCGACCTTGCCTTTAAGTGTCATAGCTATCTATTACATAGAAATCTTGCGTAATTAATATCTCAAATAATCGCGTAATCATCAGTAACCTCCCAAATTTTTCAACGCTTTCACTATTAAATTATCCTCGCACACGCCCAGCCACACATATCAAAAGTATCAGTAACAACAGTAGCCTTAACGACAATGCAATCAACAATAAAAATAAATCTGGGTTACATGACTGTCATTTATGAGAATAATTTTAATTTGTCACACTTACCTGTTGTATCATTAATGTCAAAAAAGGAAGTAAATGGATTTCCTTCTGATACTAGACCGTATCGAATTTCACGTGGAACGCCTTTATCGCCATCTTCTGCATGAACTTGAAGAATCTTAAGTATGAAGTAGAAGAAGTAAAATTATTGTAATATATGAGTATGAAAAATTGAAGGTTACATGAAAGCAGAACAGCAAAGAATGTTCAGCATGAATGTGTAAATAGTCAGTTATTACCTTATCGCCTGGGATCAATCCTGAAGGTAGACGTGTAACTGGTGGCGCCATTGTGAATACCGGCGCAACATCTTGCACATCTTCTACTATCACTACAATATCAATGCCTGCAATGTTACGGCTGTCTTGTCCTGGTTCTGCATATGCGTCCTGTAAATGGAAATTTTTAGGTTAGATTTTTTGTTTGAGGTTATGTTGATGTAATAAGTTCATATTGATGCCTAGAACATAGTTTGCAAGAATTTATAAAGAAGTGGATGTTATAAATATTTTAAACTTATGTATAATCAGATTTGAAGATTTTAAGGTTATGTTTGAAAACTTTGAGGTTATAATAGCAAAGGCTAGACAACAGATGCTGCTGACTAAGTCCACGTCACTCTAATTAGACATTCCAACAACTTTTAACTCAGCCTCATTAAATTTCCATGAATCCATAACCAACAAACATTAAAATGCAAGACTTGCAATCCATCCAGCATGAATATCTCGACTCATAATGAAATATATTGAAATCAATACTTAAAAGCTCCAAAATTGTATGTTTTTAATGGCCTTTGAGCAGCTTAAAAATGTCCAAATATGCCTTATCATTATTCCTATCGTGATGCAATTCATATTAATTGCGACTTTTTTTTTTTGTCTCTCGTTCTCCTTCCTCAATTCCCCATTGACATTATTAAACCGCTCATTAATCCACCATTATTTTAATATTTCTCGCTGCCTGCGAGACTTGAACAAAAATGCATATAAAGAAATTACAGTCTCAAGTCCAGACACAAATGAGACATTTAAAAGTGGTCGCGGACATTCGATTATCTGTATCACAATAAGCACAGAAATGAATGAGAAAATTTCACTTTTACTTTTCTTTACAATTGCTGAATTGATTTTTGTATTCAGATTTTTTTAGTGAACTTTTAAGCAGCATTAATGGTTATTGAATATTTTTATGAATGAAGTTTTTGTTTTGATGGTAATCGATAAAGAAAGTCAACGGGTGCTGTTCGAGTCATTAAAAATATTTTTCAGGTTGATGTTATACGATAATAAAGTTAAAATTGGATTAAAATTTTTTGGCATTCTTCTTACTTGTTATTCAATTTCCTCAAATAATATGGACCACTTTATTCAAAAAAAGCAACATTTTTTACGACAATTTTATCAGCCACAAAAAAAAAATTTTTATAGCAAATTAATGTAATGTGACTTTAAAAGGTTTTTGCTAAAAATATCACAAATTGAAGTGAAAGAAGAAGGAAGTCAGCATGACATAATACAGCCTCGCAAACATTTCCAACCTATGGCAAATTGAATTAAAGTGATGCCCATAATGATTATTGCTGACTGAGGATAGCTCATCATTATACATGTAAGCTGTAATTCATCAGGCTATACAATCATTTTCGTCGGTTTATTGGAGGTATTAATTTTGTTTATGGAAGGCGACACAAAGTGAGTTTTGGTGGGAATTTTTAAGAGATTTTACATTTTTATGTGACATTCACCTCAATTTGAAGCTCTATTTAGCGCTTTTCAGACCAGCTGAATTCAGCACTATTCAGCACAGCTGAATTCAACACTATTCAATCCAGCTGAATTCGAGATATTCAGCTTAGTTTAATTCAGAACTATTCAGTTAAGATAAATTCAGAACTCAACACAATTCAGCCTTGCTGAATTCAGCACCATTCAGCTAAACTGAATTTAGGATTTAGTTGAATTCAGCATTTCACAAAAATCAAATTAATTAGCCATAAATTTTAATTGTCATTTTATAATTGAAACATTTAATATTCGCAACATCAATTAGAAAGTCAAGCACAATCATGATCATCATGACGGTTATTATCTTCCAACATTTCAATTTAAAAATTCATGTGATGATTTAAGCAATTTTTTTGTATATTTAGTTCAAAGATGAAATAAAAAAGAGATTTAGGTATACAGAAGGCAGTAAATAGTAGCAAAAAAGATCATTCAAGACATTATCTTTTTACCATTGCATAACTTTCGTTTTTTTTTTTGCAGATTTTGTATGGCACAAAAAACCTCAAGTAAGTGATCCTATCGCATGTTTATTCGTGGTTTGAGATAAATGAGTTTAGACACATGTAAAATTTACTGTTTAATTTCTTACATATTAAGCTTTTACCTTGAGGAATGCTTTGGATCTTTCTTTTTGAGGCATGATGAGGAAATAAAATTAGATTCAAAAAGATTGTCGCAAAGAGTTTGGAATGATTTGTGAAGAATTCGAAGCTGTGGTTAGAAATGGTATGCAAAAATCAATTTCTGTCTTGTTTCAAGTTTTTGAGGCGATTTAATGCGGATTTATAAGCAAATGTCATGTTGATTAAAGAAAACTTGTGATATTTTTATCGAAAGAGGAAAAAATCTGGACATTCAAGAGCTGCAAAGCATTTAGACTGTAACAGATAGTTTTTTTCAAATAAATTTGAAAGTTTGATTTGGAAAAAAGTAAAACTTTGAGGTTACAATTTTTAAGCCTGATATTTCATTTTTAAAAGATGTTGAATCTTGTATGCTCACTCTTTTTCTTCGATAATCCATCTTCAGTTCTATTAAATAACCTTCAATCGTCGAGAAATAAGCTCCATAACTTTCCAAGTGGAGCGTCCACCAAAAATCAACGAAGTACAATCCAAAGTCTGTCAAGTCCATTTAAATGACTAAGTTTTTCACACGTTCAAGGCAATAAAATATAGTTTTCAACTATTTAATGCAACAAATATGTTAAATCTTATATTTGTCAAATTAAAGACCCAGATAATTCATTCAACCATAGATAATTTCAAACACTATGGCATGACTTCCAGTAAAACACATTACTTGCTTAATCTTATCTAACTTTAACCATTTTTCATGCCATTTTGTTAACATATTCATAGAGAAATATGAAACAATCCAAGGAGTTCACTATTAATCACCCGATATCGTTCAGTGTTAAATGCGGCCTCCGTCTTATACTTTTCAATTTCGCTGTTTATTATAAAAGGTAAACAAGTTTCTCTTTGAATTTCTTGTTGTCGTGTTTTGCGGCTCGCTTAGAGTTCACAATTTTTTTCTCTTCTCCTTATAAACATGCTTATTCATGCATATTGCGATTATATTTGCAAAGAAATGTAAACAAATGATAGAAAAAGAGCACAGAATTCATATTGATTATGCACTAAACATTAGAAACTCTCATTTCAGGAAAGAAGTCAAAAGGAGGCACAAAAAGTTACGAATTACGAATTTAATCGCAAACACGTGTTGTGAATTTTTCATGTAACTTATTTTTTTTTGCTTCTTGCATAGGTTACAGAAATTGTAGGCAGCAGCAGCATTAATAATATCAGAAATGTATATATATAAAGAGAATTGAAAACTGGTAGTTGGTTTCAATTTCAATTGAAAATCAATAAATCAATGCAATTTCTTTTATTTTAAATATTTAAGTTGAGCGGATTAGCTGTGAGAGGAATAAAGGATTTTATGTTTACTTTGTCGGACTGTCTGCAGTTTGATTTGCTTTAAAAGTGCTGAATTCAAAGAAAAAATTTCTAAATTGAACTTTGAAGATGCTCAATTTAGCTAATCAGGTGCTGAATAGAGCTGAATTCACCTGAGTAAATGCTGAATAGAGCTCAATTTACCTGAGTAAGTGCTGAATAGAGCTGAATTCACCAGAGTAAGTGTTGAATTCAGCTAAGTAAATTATGAAGATACTGAATTCAGCTGAGTATGTGCTGAATTCAATTGAATAAGTACTAAATGGAGCTGAATTTAGCGAAAATGCGTTCAAGAATCTCAATTCAATCTGATTTCCTCCCAACCATTTTCGTTATATTTGGAACCCAATTCAGGAATTATATTTCTTGTACATTTGCAATAATGTTGCTTAATGAGATTAAATTTATGCACTTCTGTAAGTCTTTTGTGTGCGACATATTTGTATTTTTCAGTAATAATTTTTAAATTTTAATTGAAATACAAAAAGAGAATAATGAAGTCTAAATAAGTATGCAATTGTGACCAGAAGCCTTTTTTCTCTCTTATTCCAATTTCGCACAAATCTCAAGCAACTTTAAACTTTTAATTGAGTAAGGTTTTCAATAAAAGCTATAGTTGGGCAATTATTGACAATTAATGTGAATTATTAGAATTATAAAGTTTTTTTGTTGTTCAATTTTAATTCTCATTGCTGTTTATTAGCGTGTTACTGTCTATTTTGTTGCTTAATGGATTTTCGAGAGAAATAAATCGGAGCTGCTGTCATTAGATTTGTATAGAACTGTTGCTTAAATACCAATTGATTGTGCAATTTTAATGCTTTTGTTATTAATATTGTTAATTTTTATGTTTTTGGGACACAATTTGTAGTGGGAAGTCTGTTGAGTTTGAGAATTATGGAGTTTTTAGGCAATAGGTAGCAAACTTGTGTTTTTATATTTTTTAATTGGAAATAATAAATTTAACAGCTTTTTAAAATTTAAAATAATGATACAAAATTTGTATGGATTTTACCGACGCTTAAATGGAATTTGTATGGTTTTTATGATGAGAAATGGAATTTGTACAATTTTTGATGAAGCGGAATGGAATTTGTACAGCTTTGACGATGCGAAGTAGAATTTGGAAGGTTTTAAACTAAAATTCTTATTTTTAAATCTAATTCAACACAACAAGTTGAAAAACAACAAAAATCTTGTAAATTCCCTTCAACATTCACTAAATTTACATCTTCTTTCCATAAAACTGCATGTTTTCCATAACTCATCCAATTCAACACACACTTTACGTCTAAATTCGATGAAAACCTATAATTTCTGATCCCATTTGCCACTCACATCTGTTCAAACATGAGAAATAAGCAGCAATTTTCCCACACAAATTTTTATTCAATAGAAAAAAATCATTTTCAGTCGCAACATTGCATCTTTGAATCTTCAGAAAATTGATGTGTATTACAGTCATTTCAAGAAAGCCATTTATTAAGTTCAATCATGTTATGCAATAATTTATAATAAGTACAATTTTTATGTCAATTTTCAAGCGCAGGCTTTATGCTGTAAGATGAGGTTGTAGAAAAATGAAATTAAGTGCAATTTCAGGTTGTTTAAGAATTGAAAAATTAAAGTTCA